TAAGAATATGTAGTACATGCCTTTGTCAGTCATTGCTCAACACAGTGTAGATTTAGTTCATAACTTCAAACGGTGAAGATCCACATGTGATTTACACTATATAAACTCTTAAAATTAAAGAAATGAAGCCTCTAAACGTTGATAAGACTAGTGCAGATTTTTAAATCTATTAATGGAAATAAAATCCGCTGTAATACATTATCAAATTAAGACCCGCAGCTCCTGTACTCGTTTGTGTCGTTTGGATCGCATTAGTAGATATTGTACTTATCCTCATCTGTTATATTTTTTACATAAATGCTATTAAAGAATTAAATAATTAAATACTACCATTACATTTTCAGGGACTCCAAAGATCAATGTCACTCAACAACAACAATAATGATGATGGCATTTTAAAGAAAGAATGGCAATTTAATCATGAAAGTAAATTGACATTTTACATGCAGGTGGAACACAGCCTTTCACGTGTAATCATACGTACAGTATAGCCTACAGGCACAATGTACTGTTATCGATTCTTAATTTCTTATTTTTCCAATCAAAATGAAACCTATTTAAAATGTTAGGTCTTAGCCCTCAAATTGCCTTCATGTATGTAAAGCAAATCTCAGAGTTTTTCCGCAAGACACAGTCAGCGAATTGAAATTTGAGAGAACAAATGACTAAGCCAATAAGCTTTAAGGAAAGAGGAGGAGATTTGTTGTGCAACCAGGAAGGCAAAACGCAATGGTGAAAATGTTTATCATCGTCTCCTGTGTTTCCAGTTAAGCCTTCATTCCGAAAATTACTTTCCTTAAGGAAAATGCTAATGTTTCAAGAGAACCCGAATGTATTAGTTATTTAATTTCCGGTCACAGAAAGGACATTAGGATGTCTTTTTTTATGGTATGTTTGTCTTTGCATGGGTTCCTTGTCGTATGCAGCATTCTCCAAATCTGCTTTGCAAACAGGCTTTCAGGGGTCAGCTTGCTCCCGCAGCACAATAAAGGTAACTATATATAATCAACATATTAAAGTTTTAAACTACAGCATTAAAAATTGCGACTGGGGCACTTCGATTGTACACGTGAGTAAAGTACTTTACTCGGAGTTCTTCAGTAAAGGCCGTGAAATAGGTACATTATATTCCTTGTAGCCTACAGTAGTCATTGTAAGATTTTTTTTAGTTGATTTGCTTGTTAAAATTAAGGTGTATATATAAAAACACTAGTGTATGGAACTGACTAGATGCGTTGGCTACTTGCATTTTCCCCACGTGTTAAGTATTTAAGGCAAAAAATCATAATTTGTGAGTTAGTGTTATAGCGTAATGATTAACGTTTCTTCTACTACTAGAAACCACGAAGGAGCATATTCGCATTGTAGAGGTTAAAATATGTGATTTTAAAAGATCTGGAGATGGTAAAATGTTTTAATGTCATAAACTGTCATCGTATGTCATTCCCATTACCACTAGTTTTACTTAAGATTTATTTTAATCGTTTACTTTCAGGCAACCTTTCTGTCCTCTTCATTGTAGCGGATGATCTGCGACCAGTTTTAGGATGTTACGGTAATCCTTCTGTGAAATCGCCGAACATAGACAACCTGGCTTCAAAAAGCAACGTCTTCTACGACGTTTACGCTCAAGTAAGTGAAGTTCACTTGAGTTGTGCTCAAGCTCAAAGAATAAAAAAATGGCTTGCCTTACTGCTGTTAGTGATTTCTTTCCATACCAAATCATTTTCAATTTCTGGTTTAGTCTGACATTTGCAAGTACCTTTGGTGGACTGTAAATGGTACCAGTGTCAACTTTATGTATATTCTTATGAACCTTTGGTGGATCACTGTGAATGAAAAGTTTGTTTATAATTCCTTTTTTTATGTATAGCAAGCTGTATGTGCCCCTAGCAGAATTTCATTTTTAACAAGTCGGAGACCAGACACCACAAGACTCTATGACTTTCACTCATACTGGAGAGTCCATGCAGGAAACTACACAACACTGCCACAGTATTTCAAATCCAAAGGTTACGTCACCATGTCTGTGGGGAAGGTTTTTCATCCAGGTACTCTTACTTCCAACTGAGAGTGTGTGCGTGTGTGCGTGCGTTATACTACAGAATAATCAAAAATTTTAATTTGAAATAAAATTTGGTTACTCACATACAGAAGGCATTTAGATAATGATTTACCTATTAAATATGTTTTTCAATAGCATGTTCTGGGAAGTTTAAATTCATGGGTGTTTCATCGTTTGGTTTGTTCTTTTACATTTTCCATTTGCCTGATGGATGTATTTGTTGTTTCCTCTCTTGTGCTACTGGAGGCATTGTGTCAAATTACACTGATGATTATCCGTATAGCTGGTCTATTCCAACTTATCATCCTTCATCCTTACGTTATGAAAACAAGAAGGTCAGTAACTGAAGTGTCCTTTTGTCAGAAATAATCTTGTACCAGTGTGATAAAGAAAATCTATAATCTGAAAGTTATTGTAGATAGGGTCAAGTACAGTAGCTATCATCATCAGAGTAGCATTTTCCTGTAATTTTTGTTCCAAATCATCATGGGTTTGTAAAATATGAAAATAAGTTTAGGATAAAGATTTTTATGTTGTGTTTCAATAATAATAAAAAAATACTAATAGAAGTACTAATTGCTTTTGAATATATTTGTCCTTTAAGGTGTGTACAGGGAAGGATGGCAAGCTGCATGCCAACCTGCTTTGCCCTGTGAAGGTTTCTGAAATGCCAGAAGGGACTTTGCCAGATATACAGAACACAGCAGCAGCTGTTAAATTACTTAAATCAATGAAAGATAAAGGAAATCCCTTCTTTCTTGCTGTGGGATATTATAAACCTCACATACCTTTCAGATATCCGGAGGTAATCTTTCTCTTTATACTAATGTGTCCTTTAAGGAGGAGGGTGTGAGGGGGTGCTATTAATGTGCACGGTATTCTCTTTAATTTACCAGTAGAAATCTTTTACTGAATGAGGATTAGAGGTATGTCCACACTTCGTGGATTTTGTTAATTTTTTTTTCTTCAGGCTTAATAATATTCTATGATCATTAAAACACTTTTCTGTTGGCTCTAATGGAAATCATACAGTGGGTGATAGTGTAATGAGCTTTGTCAGTACTGGGATGGAAGGACTCTAAGGAGAAACAGGCAGTTTTTTGAATGGTGTTGGTGGACCAGTAAGTGGCGCTCCTCCATTAGGACTGGAATTTTTTAAATTATTGCCGAAGTATGGTGACTGGGAACATGGTGCTTCCTACAGTACAGTCCTTTGGATAAGACATTATACCAGGGTCTCTTGTAGCACAGTTTGGACTAATGGGGATGTTAACCCCATTGCCCTAGCTAAATTCCTATCTAGCCTCCAAAGAATCCCCCTTAATTCAGTTTCTCACTTTTTTCCTAATCTGAATCTATGTATTGAGGCAATGAGCATGTTATGAGTGCCACGTGTAATCCAGATGAGTGTACTTCAGTGGTGAATTAAATGGGTCTACTCCTTAATGTCAAACACAAAACTGTTATAAATATGACAAAACCATAATGAGGATGTAGGGAATACTGCTTCCTTTTTAGGTAAGTTAATATAATTGTTGGACCTCACATCTTTGTTTTAAGGACATATTCTTCACTTTTAATGCAAAGTAGTTTTTATTCCAGCAATACTTAGAGTTGTATCCACTAGAAAACATGACGATGGCTCCTGATCCGTACATCCCCAGTGGAATGCCAAGTGTTGCCTACAATCCTTGGATGGACATCCGGAAAAGGGAAGATGTGCAGGTGCTGAATGTTAGCTTTCCCTATGGACCACTCCCTAAAAAATTTCAGGTAAACATTTGGAAGAAAGGGTTATTGCCATTATTCCTGTTAGACTCAGTTTGTGCCAATTCTTTAACCAAGAAGTCTTTCTGCAAAGACATTGCAAAAATTGTGAGCAGATCCTTTTTAATCTTTTAAAGATTAAAAGAGTGTAATCTTTTTTTAGCCTTCCTATTGAGTTAAGAAATATTCGTGTGCACACTTTTTTTAAATGTGACCAAAATTGTCACCTTCATAGAATGACAATACAACATTTCATATGGTCTGTTTGTATCCATTGGAAAATACAAGATTCTAAATCCAGGTGTACTATACCTGAGAATCCTGTTGCCATTAAGGTGATCCTCTTAAGTTCTAATTATCAATTCCATAGCCAGACATGTAGTAGAAGTAAGATTTATTGGCCTTAATTACTTGGTTCACTTTGTCACCAGTTTATGGATTGGAGTTTTTCAGTCAATTGGTATTTCAACCTGTCTTTTATGACAGGAGTCATATCTTGAAGTGCTAGAAGTATTTTGCTAAAAGCCTATGAGTAATATTACTTATTTCTTTTACGTGCAAGTGGTCATCAGATACTTGAGATTTTACTTACATTAGTACATCTTGAACTTCTGTCTCTGAATACAGAACCCTTTTTCTCATCCTGAAGCATGTTGTTGATTCCTTTGATGTGAAATTAATACCTCAGAGAAATATTGAAATACCAGTCATCTAACATTTTCCACTATTATCCTTGAGGTGCTTCATCCTTTACTGTTCATTTGTTGTGATACAAACTTACACTTCTATTTTGGAATAGAGGCTAAAAAGTCTTATGTTTCGAATTTTCTTATAAACCTTTTTCAAATGTGCTTGCAGTTTTGTGTATTCTGTTTCTTCTATTTTTGTTGCTGCATTTAATATTTTTAGGAAGTGTTTTTTTTTTCTGTTTGTGTCTTAATTGATTTATTAAACCATTTGGGCCAATGCTTTTTGCACTCTGCTTTAATAACTCTAAATTTAATCTGCTCTGTATTTCATGCAGAATGCCTTTAAACTAGTGCCATCTAATCTATCCCTTAAACTCTCTTACTTCTTCATAGTTTGTTTTCCTGAAATAGTAAAGCTTTGTTTTAGACCTTTGCACTTACAGTGTAGCTAGAACGTTTGTGGACCCTTTAGAATTTTCTGAATTTCTGCATAAATTTCACCTAAAATGTGATCAGATCTTCATCTGTCATAAAAATAGATAAAGATTACCCAATAAAACAAATAACACACAAAGGGATATACTTTTTCATTAATTTATTAACTTTCATTATTAAATATTAACTTTATAGCACCACTGTAAATATGCTTCAAATCATGCCATTGTACAGTTCCTAATTGTTCTCACACACCTGTTTTCCTTTCTCTGTATTTATTTGAAAAGATTAGAGGCTTACAAAGTTTTCTTTAGTAGGTACTTTGACAAAGTGAGAATTTAGCAGTTGTTAGTCAAGTGTTCCATCATTAAGCAGCTGTGAGTGGCACTCCCCTAAGGTGTGGTGCAAAATTAACCAATTACCAATGAGTCAGGCTGGGCATGAGTTAACACTTGGTTTCTGGGACATTTCACATGTCACTCCAGTCAATTCCAGCTCCCCTGTAAGGTATGGAAAATATCATAACGGTGATGACCAACATGTCAGAAACTGTTGATCCCAAATTAGGATGATGTGAAAAATACTTGAAAGTGTTTTTGGATCGCAATATACAACAGTTGGCAAAAGTGGACATTATTTAAATTACCATAACAGTACTTTTATATTTTTCTTAGCCATAGAGATTATATTACAGACAAATGTTTTAAGTGAAACATGCTGTAAATAATTAATTTTGCTTTCAGTTGCAAATCCGCCAGAACTATTTTGCTGCTGTGTCCTACCTTGACTCTCAGGTTGGACAGCTTCTAAATGCCCTGGATGATTTGGGTCTGGCCAATGAAACTATTGTGGTGTTTACTTCTGATCATGGTAAGTGCATTGTTCCTTATTTCCATTTTTTTCAAGATCTTTAGAACATTTTATATTCCTGTTATCTTGAGACCCTGGAACTTTTCTTCAGGATGCCCTTTGATCTGTATTAAGGCAATTGTTTTTCTACATTTTTTTACATGAAGGATCATATTGATATTGCGATTCACCTCATATTTGAAATAACAATTACTGTTCACAAAATCTGGAGGAATAGTTCATGCATCAAAATCAATTTTGTACCAAATTAAAAGAATGAGTACCACATAATTCTACATTACTGTGTATCTTATTATTTTTGTGTGCTGGAATCTACATTTTAGAGTTGATTATGGTGTTTGTGTTTTATTTCACTATGGTTAAAACTGAGGACCTGTGCTGGAAGTTGTTTTATGTGAAATCATAGGTGGTACAATCTTATTCATAACTGCCTGGATTTGACAGGAGTTTAAATTCCTCTTGCCTGCTGATGTTCAACATTTGTCTTTTATTTATTTTATTTTTTTCCACCAGGAGCAGGTTAAATCAGAATGAGCAGTAGGAGTTTAATCATTTGAAAGTATCTTCAGTGTTGAGTGAGTGAATTAATCTGTATAAAAAAATTTAATGACGGTTGCTTTTGTTCTCACTGTACTATAGGCTGGTCATTAGGTGAACATGGAGAATGGGCTAAATACAGCAATTTTGATGTAGCAACCCGTGTGCCATTAATGATTTATGTACCAGGATTAACCACATCCACCAAAGAGCCCAAGACAAAAATCTTCCCCTATTTGGATCCGTTTCATTACTCGTCTGACATGTCATTCAAAGGTAATAAAAATACCAGAAGGGGAAAGCACTGTACCTTTTGTAGAATTTCCTTTTCACCCTTCTAAAAAACATTTAAAACAAACTTATAACTATTAATTGTTCTTTCAGACTTTTTTTTAATGTTAAACCTCCTACTTTTCTATAAGTTGTTTTGAAAGATAACAGCAGAATTGACCTCTGTTTGTGGAAAGCACTAGGCTTTACGATTCTCATTTCAGAGGAATAAAGTGGTTAAGAATATACTTTTTCTAGAAACTAGAAAACTCTATTCTTTCCATCACAAGATAATAAGTTCTAACACTTTCGTCTTATTCATTTCCCAAGTGTCATGATTAATGAGAATTTTTTATTGAGTCAGTGTTTAGCCAGATTTAATTATTGTACCCTTCAGTGCCCTGACTTTTATGTGTATTGTTTGTGGTTGGATTGTTTTGATACAATCCACTGTCTCTCCAGCACTTAGTGTTCGATATACAGTACATTGTCTATACAACTAGTAGTGGTGCCAAGCTGCAAACATCAAATACATTTGATGAAATCTCATAGATCTGTCTGCTTAAATCCAATGTGTAGTATTCCTATATCTTATATCTGCAGGAGGAATCATAGAAGAAAAAAGTTGTATGAAATTTCCTGTGGTGAGGCACAGGATACTATAAAAGGAATTTTAAAAATTCTTCCCTTTTAAATACTTTATGTTAGGATCTATAGACTTTCAATTAAAATATCTGCTAAAGATTTCGTGGTTTAGAATCATTTATGTCTTTATCGAAGTTTTTAATTAGCAAATATGCAGCTCCTCAGTTGCTGACGAGTGAACGTCTTCAGATAAACACAAACTGAACTTAATTATTTGTTCATGTTAATTTATGCAGGTGTAATATGGTGTAAATTTTGTGTTATTGCAGAATATTCTAGAATTTCCCACGTTAACAGTGCACAAAGTAATTAGCTTGCATATACATGTAGATACATGCCTGAATGTTGTCTGATTTATACTGTTATAAAGATGTTTCGGTCTTGTTAAGTCTTAAAACTTCTGTATTGAGCTTATTTATTAATTTTCACTGAAAGCACTTAGCTTTGTACTGGTGATAAATAATGTGGGCTGTCAACCTTTGCAGGGAAAATGGTGAGAAATGTCATGGAGTTGGTGGATCTATTCCCCACAATCTCTGAGCTGGCTGGGCTGCAAGTGCCCCCTCCATGTCCTGTTTCCTCTTTCAATGTGGAGCTTTGCACGGAGGGACGAAGCTTGGCGCACAGCTTCAAAACACCTGAAGGGAACATAGACGCAGAAGCTATTGCTTACAGCCAGTATCCTAGGCCTGCTGATGCACCACAGCAGGACTCTGACCTTCCCTTACTCAAAGACATTCACATCATGGGCTACTCCATCCGTTCCTCTGACTACCGCTACACTCTCTGGGTAGGTTTCAACCCAAACACATTTGAAGCCAACTTCTCAGATGTATGTGCTGGAGAGCTTTACCTTATGGACAGTGACCCCAACCAAGATGATAATTTGTTCAACAAAACTAAATATGCGAGTGTGGTGCAAAAGTTCTGGCAGTATTTAGAAATCAAATAACATTTATCTTTATCCTTATCCTCATCTTGCCAGGATATCTTGTCTATCATAGTTGTCTGTAAACCCTTTCCTCTCTACTTTTCAGTTTAATGCAAAAGATACAGTATTACACCTGTAATAATAACGCAATCAGCTGTAAACATCTTAAGTGATCCTGTTGCATTTTTTATATATATTTATCATTGTTTTTTTTTTTCTCTGATGCACTTAATTTTTGTAGTGAAGGTTTTGGTGTGACCCTCTTTTTTTTTCTTTGATCCAAATTGTCATTAATAAATTGTCACATCTCATACCAGTTCTATAACATTCATTTTTCATGATGTCCCTGAAAATCGAACACAGAACACTTGTATCTTTGAATATGTCTAACAGTAGACCTAGAACAGCAAATGAGGCATTTCATTGCTCCATTGTGAAAACACCCTAAATCAGGGTCCAAAAGACCATTTGAATATTGTAGGTTTCAGCCTTTTACTCTAAAGAATAAGTCAAGATTGTCACTCTAGAATTAGACATTCGGTAGTTATAGTGCAAAGGGACAGAGTGATGATTCTGTATTGATAGACCCTTGCTAGTTGCACTTAACTATCCCTTCCTCTATGTCTTACCATTTTCAGTATTTTTATTATTCAGTGCATGTGTACATATTCGTTTTTTATTCCTTCCACAACTTAAGTAAAAAAAATATTTTGTGTGTACTGTACCAGTTAATTACCTATGTCTCACCTAGTGTGGTGTTAGGGTCTGTGTAGAGCCCTCTAGTGGCAATTCAACAGTTTCAACCCATTTTACAGCTGACTTGTCATATTGGAGTAGAACTGATGAATATGGTGAGTATACTTTAACCACAACTATAGATCATGATTTTTCATCATTATGATAACTAAAATTAAGACTAGTATTCAAATCATAGAGAAATCATAGGGAATCATAAGAAAAGTTAACTTTTAGCTATACATTTTCTTCAAACAAACATGGTGCATGGGTTGCTTACAAAGTAGTTTGTACCAAGCTAACAGAAATATTTTACTATTTGTAATGTGGTTGTCAGGTTTTCTTTGATCTCTGTATTGATTTAGAATCCATGAAGTGAAGTGTATGTTTATGCTTTCAGATAAAATAATTTTGGAGACTACAATACAGTGTCATTAACGTTAAGGCAAAGTACATGTCTAATCTGTGCAGTTATCACTCATTAGTGATTTTTTTTTTTTATGTTGTCAGTTTACACAAAGTTTACAGGAAGGCCACAAAGTGAGATCCCAGGACTTGATAAATGCAGTGTCATGCAATTATTTTGCCATAAACAATAGTTGGTATGATGGGTTTATACTGTTAATTATTCTCTCATTAGTTTTACAATTAATATTTTTGGGTGTGTATGTCTTAATATACTGTTTAAAGGAAAAGGTTTCAGTGAAATAATGTGGATAAAGAGAGATAACATCAATTTATTAACCCTTTACAATTTCTAGCATTAGGAATTATCTTTTTGCATACCCTAGCTTACTCTCCATGAGACACACAGACAGGGAGAGAGCCTGGGGTCAGAGCACAGGGTCTGCCATTGTACGGGCCTTGCTCAGGAGCCCAACGGAGTAGGATTCCTGTGCCGGCTGTGGGATTTGAACTGGCAACCTTCCACCCAAAGGTGCAGATCCTTAGCCACAGAGCCACTGCTCCGCTCCTGTTTCATTATGAAACAGATGTGGATACATTTTTCCATAAGATAATCTTTATCAAGTGTTTTTTTAACATAAAGACAAAAATAGAGGAGTACTAAGAACTTGAAGAATCTTCACATACTATAGAAGTTCAGGTGGGTAGCTGGGTCAGCATGCGTAGGCTGCAAAGGAGCAAGTAATAGGTTTATTCCATGCTGAAAAAAGAAGAGAGAAAAAACACGTTTCGGCCGCGGAGCCTTCTTCACACCTGAAGAAGGCTCCACGGCCGAAATGTTGTGTTTTTTCTCTCTCCTTTTTTTCAGCATGGAATAAACCTATTACTTGTTCCTTCATATACTGTAGATATCCTTGCCTTTTCTTTCCATATGTATCTGTAGATGTGTCATTTACAGCTTCATAATCTTGGAGAAGCTGAATTATTTGAATTTCTGTTGTGTGTTAACAGTAGATTGTATGGCAGTTATCTCGAGTGTTGTCTGCAAGTTATCCATCTGTCACAAGGAGTCATTGTGCCTGAGGTCAGAATTTCTGTTACCACTAGGCATAGTCTTTGTGGTCTGTCACAGTTCCACAATTCCTTTTGATTTCCTTTTTGGTTTCCTGCTGCTCTTGATTGGCATTTAGTGTTTTCTGCAGTAAACATACAGATATCCACGGCTTCTAATAATAATCAGCTCTCGGTATTAACTTGCATAGTTTTTTAATTAAACTTTTTTTTTCAGAACTATCATGTGAACATGTTTTATGCCATCTATGCTTCATTATCATATTTTTTGTGTGACTTCTAATGTAATATAGAATGTTCTAAAAATCAATAGGTGGCAATAAAAACTTCAGATTTCTTTTCTTTTTTATGCACATCACAAGAAAACTCATTTGGAAATATAACATTTTATTCCAGCAATGTGATGCAGTATATCCATATATATTTTTTTTAATGATTTATCCAATACAGTTATAATAATATACAGTGGTGTGGGGGAGCCAGAGCCTATCTCAGCAAACAATGGCCATTAGGCAGAATACACACCCAACTTGTTGTTAATAAAGTGCTTTTCAATAATGGTAAATTGTTTTACGATTGTTCAACATACAGTACAAATTTATTATACTGGAGATTGGGTGGTGCGGTGGCTCTGTGATTAAGGACCTATGCCTGTGGCTGGAAGGTTGCTGGTTTGTATCACGTGGCTGGAAGAGGAATCCTACTCTGTTGGGCCTCTGAGCGAGGCCCTTAACCCCAACTGCTCTGGGGATGCTGTATAAATGGCTGACCCTGTGCTCTGAACTCAAAGCTTCTCTCCCTGTCTTTGTGTCTCATGGAGTACAAGTTGGGGTATGTGAAAAGACAAATTCCTAATATAATTAATTGCATATGGCAAATAAAGTGACCTTATCAATTACTTTGTTAAAATTAATAAACAGTACAGTTACTTAGTGTAATTCCTATCTGTTATAAATGTTAGAAATGCAATCATCTTAAAATATTACAACCTATATTTCAATAGTAAGATAATCAATTTCATATGCAATACCCATTGCCTAAGGTAACTAATTCATTCTTTCAGTCCAATTTGTCATTTTTAACTTTAAAAAAAAACAGACTTTTGTCTGATATTACATATAATATTCATGTGGAATGAAAAATGTCATGTTTTTGCAGCATGTGAAAAAATAAGGTAAATATAGTTTATACAAGTTAAAATTAATTTAATATATAAGATGTATGGTTATTAAATTGATCCATGTAAGCCATATCACTTGTCGATAGAGCACAATTCACCCATCACTTCATTTGATTGTTTGCTCTTTTTTTGCACATTGAAAGTAGTTGCCTTTTGGGATGCCTGGAACTTGACTGATTTTTCACCTGTAGTGTCTCCAGCTAAGACAGGAGTCAAAGAACCACTTTAGAGGCTAAAAGTTCTGAAGAATGAAATGTTCTGTTTTGAGAACAGAACGTCAAAACTCTGAGTCCAAATGAGCATTGGATTAGATAGATAGATACTTTATTGATTCCGTGAGGGAAATTTCAGAATTACATGTAACACCGTGATTACTGGTCTAGATGTTATTTTAACAGTTGGTCAGCAACCAGTCTTAAGTTGGTCTTTTATTCTTTAATTCGGTTTGAGAAAATGAAGTCTCTGTGGACCTTTTCACAAATGTGCAGACCTAGAGCACAGATCTAGTACAAAATACATCATGTCAACTGGTAATATGACGGAGAAGGAAGAAGATAATATTGAAGGACTTCTGCAAAAAAAAGTTGACTCAATAGATGTCTTCCTTCACAACAGGTGCCTGTAAAAGAATAAGAGTGTTAATATCTATTATACATTCTCTGCAGAAGAAAATACACTTTTTTTAAAAGTTATTTACTTATTACAATATCAACTGATGGCAGAACCTTGTACGTCTTCGAATCGTACAGTACTGCTGCATCCCAGCTCTGCAGAGACTGAGATGAGGAAGCTTTATAATATGCGGTGTGCATGTGCAGTATTCCCAGTTACTTGAGGAGTATTTCACAGCAGCAACCACAACTCTGATGAATTTATTTGTGGTTTTTGTACCTGAACTGAATTTCACCATTTCATTCCTTAAGGCTTTAATTTTACTTTATTAATGGTAAAACTTCCTGCAGTGTTTATGACTAATGACTTGGGGGTAAGAGTGCTACTGTATATCAACTTACCATTAAAATATAACTGCTGTATATCCTACTAGGAGAGGGCTGTGCAGAAGAAGGAAGTTGATATTTAACTCCTTTGCATAAGGATTTTCTTCAGAATTAGGAAAGGAAAAAGGAGAGCAGTTAATGTTTATATCTCTTTTTCTGTTTTGGTTGGAGAGATTTTCTGTGTACAATTTTTCTCTAAGTAAGAGGAGGCGAGAGGATTGAGCTACCTAGGATTGTTTTGAACTTTAATTTCATTTATGTAATTTCTATCCTTGAATTTATCTTCTGGTATTGGAGGGGCCTTAACCAACTTCACAAAAATGTATTATTCATTGAACAAGAATAAACTTAATGTTACTTCATGCGTAAGCAATTGCTTTTTGTTTGTCAAATTTGTGAATTTGATCATTCACAATACCTTTAAAACCTGAAAACCAAAAAATGCGCAGAGTTAACCTACTATACTTAGATTATGACCTATTTGTATCCAACTGAAGTGCAGTGCCATCCAGCTTTGTTTTTCCATCCATACCCCAGTAAGCCACAAGATGGTGCTTTAATAACTCTTTACTACAAAACGTCTATCTTTAAGGAATGTTAATCAGGGTTTGGTAGATAATCCAACCTGCTGTAAGTTTAAATAAGGAATATTGCATTACTATCACTTTGTGTCTTCATACTACCTTATGCATTAATAACCATGTGTTAACCATTTAAGTTTTAAATTTAAACAGAAGTTTTTTTTAGGTATAGCTTTTGTAACTTTAGAGCTAAATGGACAATATAATAAAAACCAGATATAATGAAGGGTTGAGCTTGTTTTAAGAGTTGTAAGCCTGTATGTCACTAGTGTGAGATTTCATACTGAACGAGTACAATGACCTGCACAATCATTCAGACCCATGCATAGTTTTCACATTTTGTTGTTT